AAGGTATAGCACTTGAGTATCAGATGCTAAATGCTTGTTGTCAGCTAAATGTGAGAACGAGTGGCCATTTTAAAATGTTGGTTTTTCTCCCTTCTCAAGTAACCTGACTTAATTTAACCAACAGTGGACATGACAGGATGCAACCCTCCTGAGGCAGTTCGCAGCACCGGAGAGACCAACGGCACAGTCATGGTCCACTCCACTCACCTCATGAAAACAAGGACTGAGATGTGTGATCGCTGTTGCATTTTAAGTAATAGGAAGGCACTGAGGATGATACTAGAGTTTTCCTTAAAGGAGTATACATCTGATAAAGAGGACAGTGTTGTCAAGTATTTCCAAACATACATTTCCCACTAGAATCTCTCTCTGGAGAAAGAGGCTTCAGTGGACCTCAGGCATTGGGGGTGTGAGGAGGATGGATTAATGAATATGGTGAAGTCACCCCAAAGCAGTGTCCAACCTGTAGAACTGGACTTCACATTTTGCATCTATAGCAGGCCAACTTCATTACTTTGGAGGAAAAGTTCCTAGTTGATGCTCTTCTTCCTCCCCATGGCAAGAGCAGTGGCATGTTGGATTATGGGAAGATCAGCAGACAGATGACATCCCAGCTCATAGTGTGCTAATGTCATGGAGAGGCTGGCGAGGGCTTGCTGCCATTTTTCAGTCTGTTGCCTTGTACAAAATCAAACCTTAAAATAAGGGACCCTAACTAGTTACAGTTTTTGCAGCCTGACACTTCCCCTACAGCACAAAGGACCATCTCAGTGGGAAACCGATCCCATGATCTAGGGCAGTCAATAGCACTGGCAACATCTGAGCAGAACTACAGTCTGAACTTGACCTGGCACTACTGGGTATTTCCATGTCAGCCCACCCTGGCTTACACCTGAAGCACTCTGGGAGGCTGAGGGATGCGCAGAGTCAAAAAAGGTCCAAGAGGAAAGAGTGTTTCCAAGAAGACCCCTGAGCAAAGGGGCTGTATTTCACAGGGGATGGCAGCCACGCTAACCCCAAGTCCCGCAGCTCCTGGGGAGGCGGGAGAGCCCCTACGTTGGAATTTTAACGGTCTCCAGAGCAGACCAACTGGTAGACCAACTGGTCTGCTCCAAGAGTAGACCAACTTCTTGAGTCCTTGTTTCCTCATTTGTAAACCAAGACCAACAACCCTTCCCTCTAGCAACCTCACAGGGTTCTCCTAAATTCCCCCCAGGACTGGGCCCTTCTCCACGGGCTCGCCAGAGGCCTGCCCCGGTGGTGAGCAATTCAGAACGAACCTCCACCTCCTCCAGCCCGTCACCCGCTTTCACATGACCTCGTTTCATTTTATTCACAGCATTTGTCATTGTCTGACGCTGTCTTGGGCTTCAAGCCTGTCTCCCTCACTGGCATGTAACTGTACGAGAGCAGCAGCCATGGCAGCCCAGGGCCTGCCTGGACTTTTTTGCTGCTGCATCCCTGGTGCCCAGATCAGGGCCCACGGGAGGGAGGTGCACAAAGCGAGAGTGGTGCCGGAGTGCACCGATACGTGTGAAGCTTTCTGAGCTGGAAATACTAGAGGAACAGGGACAAACCCACACCATGCTGCAGATCTGGGCGCTACCGCCGCTGCGTCTACACAGTCCGGCTGCCTTGTGACGTTTCCTTTACCACCACCATCATCAGTCTACCCAAGATGTGAAATACCCTGTCCGCCAAACTTAGGCCATACTTTGCATGGGGGCCAGTAAGGAAATGTTATGTTTATTTAACAGCTTCTCACACCCATTTCAAGCAAGTCCAGCGGACATTGAGGGCACTCAAATGACCAGATGGTCCTAAATCCCATCCCAGAACAGACCATCTGGATCCAAGGACCTGTGAGGGCTTCCGTGGTCTAAATGTAGACCAAGCCTGGAGCCCATGTTTCCTGTGTAATCCATTTAGGGGACTAGGGTTGGCGCCGCTAGGTGCCTCCTCAACACCTGGCTTGGAGAAGCCAAGCCACCGAGAATACACCCTCTGCCCATCCTTGGCTACAGAGTGGGCGGGAGATGTTAACGGATTTCTCCACATCACTCTTTCCTTTGCAGGGGAACAGTGGAAAGCACATTTTGTGGACGCATGACAGCTCAGGAATTTCTCGTTGGTGTCTCTGCTTGAAAAGCAGAAGATGGATGGGTTGCTTTGATTGTGCCGGAGGGCCCTTTCCTGGCTCACCGTGTATTCTCCCACTACACTCCACTAACCAGTCCCTGAAGGTCCCTCCATTGCTAAAGGGAGGGAGGCAGTTGGAGACTTTTTTTTCAAGTTTTAAAATAAAATAGAAGGATAAATATGCTTATAGCTATTCTATTACACATGGGTGGCAATAACCACCAGCTGTCACCAGGAAACAGCAGATGTAATTGATAAAACAATTTAAAACTCTTGTGGATCCATCATCAATAAAGTTAACACCCAAAAAAGTAAATGAAAGGGTTCAAAGTAAACTGGATAAGCTTCCCAGGTCTGCCAATAATTAAATCACTGAACTACACACGAGCATAATTTTTTAATGCAGATTAAAGAGGAGGATCAGCTGGGCAACTTGCTTTGCTGGGTGAGGATGGAGTACCATATGTCGCTTATGAAACCGTCATTAGCCGAGGTAGCAGTGGTGCATGGGGAGGTGGGGGGCAAGAGGACGGCTCGAAGACAGACCGTCACTATTTCAAAGGAAATCCAGGACATAACATTTACTCATAATAAGGAAAGGCTCCCTACCCAGATGAAGCAGGGAATGGACGGTAATATTATTCATTACTGCAGTTTAGCATTAAATGTGCAACACCTACTCTAATTTATTGATGGACTGTTTAAGACGGGTGTTAACCTGTTTGTCTTGTAGTATAATTGAATTCAGTCTCTAGGCTACAGAAATTTGAGAAGTTCATCCTTTCTCAATCAATATGCTCCCCTTCAGTGACCCATTTCAAGACAGCTTCATAAAAAATAATGTATTTTGTTTTAATAAATTTAAACACTATGACAGCTGCTCAATTTTTATTGGTTGTTTTTTTTCCCTTCAGATGTCTCTTTGCTGCCGAGGGAAGCCAAGTTCACAATCAATAGTAATTGATTAATCAGCATCCCCTTTGAACAAAGGTGCTAATCAGTTTTTGATTAGTTCATCAAAGCAGATGTAAAGGCAGCCCAGCCCCTGCCCGATAGATCATCAGTGTTCTACATGACTTATGGCTCCTGAGCAATGTATGACCGCAGCCTTCCTGGAGGGGGTGGAGAGGGGGGCGACATAATTATTAATTTAGCCGAATTATTATGAACACAAACAGTTGTTGGTTTATTACTCCTGACTCGGGGGTGATTGATGGAACTGCAGCAAGGCTGCAACTGACTCGGTGCGGAGCGGAGAGAATGAAGTAGTCCTTAATTGATGATGCTGGGGGAAAGAGTGGATGGCTGGCTTAGTCCTATTTTCCTAAGGAGGAGAAAAATTACTTCTCTGTAGCAGAGTGATCTTTGGCTAATAGGCTAAGGATCTGGGTGCAGGAGAACTTGGGGCTTTCTGAGGATCCTTGAAAGACCCACCTGCCAGGCCCACGGTGTCAGAGCTGTTCTACTTAGGGTCAGGGTCAAAGCTGAGAGCACAGATTGCTCACATCCAGCATTGCGCTCCAAAGAGGGCACGACATTACTACTTCTGCTTTAAAAGAAAATCAGGCTAATGTTTTTGTGACTCCTCTAAATACATCACAAATAAGAGGCAAAAATAAACACTCCCTTGACAGGCTGGCTCTCATGGCTTCTATTTAACAATCTAAATTCACTGGGATTCGGAATTCATTTATTCCTCTAATAATCAGGGCCCACCACACAACAGGCAAACAGCAGTGAACAAAACCAATATGGCCTCCTGGAGCTTCTGCCATGTGGGAAAACCCAGCAAGCTCAGTCAGCTAAGCTTAAACGGGGATGTGTTGTATAACACAAAATAAAGTCTAAAGTTTGACAGAAGCATATAGTAGGCAATAAATTCAATGTATTTTGTAAGACGGGTGGGTGCTACCTTTTTCTCTCACTGGGTAAGCTCAGCCTCTCAACCCCCATCGATTCAAGGAGCTGTGGCATAATCTCTCTGAGAAGGAATAGGGAGCCCTTCTTTCCGACAGGCTGGAGTAGGGGCCCACAGTCCCATGTCTTGGTTTCTCCACTGAATTGGTGAGGAAGGGGCCTTCCTTATTGATTTATGAAGAAGTGACGGATCAAAATGTTTAAGAAGCTGTGCCGGTTGGCGGTGAAGTCCCACGACATCACGGGAGCTCATATAATTGTTTAGCTCTGACCATTTTAAATCTCCTCTCCCCTCCCTTTTAGGATATGCTTCTTATTCTGGATTAGTAACACCTAAATCCTGGAATCAAGCATGAAACCTACTTTTGCAAGAGCTCAGTGTGCTGTGAAAAAGGTCTGAGGTGGATAATTAGTTTACATCATGGTGTGTGACAAAACAATGCCCCCCCCTCCTCACGTACCTCCCCACCCCCTACTGCTAAGATAACTATGACATGGCTTTTCCAGCCTGTTCCACAGAAGTAGATGGTCAACATCATATGTTTTTTTTTTTTTTAAATAAAGATCTTGTCTCATAATCCAACATGCTTAAACTGCTTTGTAATGCAACAATTTTTTTTTGCTCAAACCATATCCAGAACATAAAAATGATTTTTAGCTGAAGCCACTACACATAAGGTGGTTTTTGTCCAATTCCAAAGACGGCTTGACCTCTACTGCATCAAGGGCATCAGCCCCACTCTGAAATAGACATGCCGTCACCATCCTTGTTTGATGTGGGAAGAGAGGTGGGTGGGGAGGAAGAAAGTGTTAGTAACCAATTGTCTTAGTGTCAAAATCCACAATTGCTAATTGTCCAGCCAACCAAATGGCCAATCTGTGAACGTGGACGGAGCACCCACAGGTTGGACACCGCAGCGCCTTACCTAATGGCTAGCCCTTACCTGAGAGGTCCTCACTGTCCAGTTCTTCTGCGGAATTGGGCAACTGAGTAAGGCCTTACAAGTAAAAACAAATCGTTTTTCTTTTCATTCCTCAAGGGACATAAACAAAACACTTAAGAACTGAGGATGAATTTCTTAAAAAACATGAGCCAAATCTCTTACTATCACTCTCTCTTTTTTTTTTTTTTTGATAGCTTGAATGTAGTCATCTGTCAGTACGTTTCTCCAATCATTTCATTTTGTTATTGATACACAATCGAGGCAGAAAGATTCCTCAGTCTCCACTTTCAAAGCACATGAAACATGAAGGTGAATGTTTAAAATCACTCATTCATAACAGCATGCAAAAAGAAAAAAAAAATAAAGCCTGATTGTTAGCTGTCGATGTGCTGATTTATCTCTTAAATACAAATATATTTAGATGTTACATACTGATGTATGTACGTTTTATTTTGCATTTTACTGCAAATTGAAATCCTTTGCCAATACTGACAAATACAGTTCATTATCAATTTACGATGATCTTGGATCACTTATTTCAAAATGGTGCAGCATCTGCTAACTGCAGATTGCAGGTTATGCCTTCATCAGAAAGTCTGATTCACAAAATGATCTTTTTAAAAAGAGAATTTCAAAAATCAGTGGTATTCCTGAAAAAAGAAAACCCTCAAAGCTGAAAAAGCAGTTAGGTCAGGAGATAATCAAGGAGGGGTTTGAAGTCTGGGAGTTACCCGGATGTCGGCCACCTGGCCGGCTGTGGCAGCTCTCAGCTGGCTCGGATTGGAATTAAAAGAGGCAGAGAGGGAAGCAGGCTCGCAGTGGGAGGCTCACCTAGGGGAAGGCTTCCAGGTCCTCATACTTTACTTGCAGGTTGATCCTTTAATGGCGATTATGAAACACCACAAAATGTTAGACAATCCGGGAGGCCTTTACTTGCTCTTTGCTGTTTTGCTCAGTCCCATCTGATTGCCCTAGGGCCTCTAATTTGTACACTTTGCTAAGACTGCTCGAATGGGATTGTCACTTTTGAAGGTACTGATGGACCTATTACATATGAGGTTTTGAGGAGGGAGGACACGTCTTGGTTTTTCCATGGTTCTGTTCTTTTAGGGCCAAGCACCAAGTCTACTCCAAGTATTTGCTGAATTAATGATTGGGAGTAATGCTCAGTGAACTGCCAGCCAGAGCATGAAAGCCACCAAAACAAATGCTCTGCAAACAAACAATGTCAAACTGATTGCACTATTTAAAAAAAGAAAGCAACAGAATTAACAGAAACACTCAAGGAGAAATAGTCAGTAAAAGCTTAGCTTGTGCAAGTAATGTTATAAGGGAGTCAAATGAGTATTGATAGCCAGCTGGGTGTTGTGAAAGGGAGATACCACATTATCAGTTCTCGAAGAAAGCATTTCCATCAGGGCCCTCGGGTGCCAATATTCAAGGTCAGGTGCCAATTAAAAAACGGTAGGATGTTGAGTCCACACCAGTTCCCAACCTATGGATTTAGGCAACTAAAGGGAAAACAAGTAAGTAATACAATGAATCAGAGGCGACTGAGTAGGGATGCCATCCATCTGTTCTGCAATCGGATTGGCTGAAAGTGTTCCTGTTTCTAATAGGCTTAATCCTTAGTATAAAGACTGATGAATACAATTATTTGAATAATTGTTATAAATGGGCAACATAAAGCAATTCTTTGTAGTTAATTATGAATTCGCAGTTCTCAGAAGGCTAATCCCTCACTTCTCCGTGGCCCAATGAGTGTCAGAGCGTTCTACATACGTGCTCGGCGCCCACTGAAACATATCAAACAAGGATGTTTCTAGTAGGTAGCTTTATTGCTGAAGGTTTGCTTCCTTGGGGAGGGCATTAGAGAGCTAATTTTAAAAAATAAAGATAAATATGCTGACGAAATATCATTGATATGCAAAGTTTCCTATTAAAAAGCAACAGACAGTTGATATACACCTCATTAAAGATGAAACTGTCATTTTTAATGGCATAAATTTAAAACTACAGCAACTCGTCTGGAATCTGCTGTTCAGATGACATGGGAAAGTGGGAAGCCATTTAGGTTAGTGGCGTTAAATTTGTTTTTGCACTACTATTGTCTTTTATGAATCTATAGTGCTCTGCTATAGTCGGACAACTTCTGAATAAATATAATTAGGAAGAGTTTACTGGAGCCCGGCGTGTATAAGCGAGGACAAGCAACATTTACATCCTAAATGGTTTTTGGTTTAGGTAGTTTTCTTTCATGTTAAAAATTATACACCTCTTATTTTCTCACAGCAAAAAGACAAAGATACATTTTTATGAAGCAGTGAATACTCTTCGAAAGGAAATTTTCCAGTTGAACAATGAATGGGGAATTACTTCTTGATTTTTCTCTTTAAACTTTCCTATCAGCCACTGAAGTTCTTCCTTGTCACTTCTAATTAAAATGCATTTCTTTAAACTTTGTTAAGTGACTGAAGGTTTACTTTTGGCCCATGTGGGATTGTGGGAAGCAATTACTAACATTCTGGGGTGCAAACGTGATCAGTTAAAACATGCACTCTGTCTTTTCCTTGGAGACCTGGGCTTCACCACCGTGCTGTAACATCCCGCACGCACCCTAAGCCTCCTCAGATTTAGTGCTTTTGCAGCTGTCACTCGTCCTTCTCAGCAGAAATCGCTGGCATCTAAAAGTGGTTTGATGTGGCCATCTTAAACCAGGTTGAGGAAAAACTCAAAATATTAGAAACAATAAGAAATCCTACAGCGATCTAAATAAATTCAAGGTGAAGGTCAAGTAAAATGAAAACCTTTGTGGGTTCAGTTCATCAGCGTTTCATTTTTTTTTTTTTCTAGTCAACTTCCAAAGAGAACCATCCAATCCAACCTCCAGGAAATAAAAAACTGGCCCTAGTACCGATCCCGTTATGAAAAAGTAGGCGAGGGTCTCTCTCTTACCTAAGCAGCACACATCTGATCATGGGCCGTAATATGGAAACTGTTACTTCCATCACCAGCCATAAGAGTTCAGACGCCCCCGGTTGTTTTAAGCTACAAGCTCAGTCATCCTGTTCTTCCTGCTTTGTCAGCTTTTGTGGGATTTTTCCCTTCGTCCCATTAGCAGAAATTTGGTTCACGCCGTTAAACAGTAGCACATTGTCTCCAAACTGCATATCAAGGCTGAAACGCAATCTTCGGGTCCTGCAGCCACTCGCACACCTCTTTAGCTTTGTTCTTGAGTAGAACACACAATGTCTGCAGAGTCCCTCGACTGAATGACAGCCTTTGAATGCCATTGTCGTGTGCTCACACAGAGAGATGTGCAGAGAGGGACACACACAGATGGCGGACATAGAGGTTGTAATAATGCGCACTGCTGGCTATTTTTCTTTCAAATGGGCTACAGAAAATTTTCCCCGCAATCGGACAGAAAGCCAGATAAGAATTTCATGTGCTTTTAGAATTCTATCATGACTTGCGCTTCTTACAATAGAATCAGTCAGGGACGGGGGTATTCGTGAAGGCAGCTATCTAAGGGAACATGGGTCTAGCGCAGGCTAAACATTTTGAAACCAAAATGTGAGAGTAATATATTAAGAGGACTTCCCCGGCTGGGCCTGACCACAACTATACACTATATAAAAAAACTATTTAAAAACTCATTGGGGATATATGAGTTCATGAGATCATCTGCCTCTAAGGTACAAGAGGTATAGAGGAAAAGGACAGGTAGACTTGAAGATGATGCGATAGTGAGGGAGGGACAGAGGGAGGGAGGGAGGGAGGGAAGGAGGGAAGGAAGGAAGGAAGGAAGGAAGGAAGGAAGGAAGGAAGGAAGGAAGAAAGGAAGGAAGGAAGACCTTAAACCCAGAGGAAGCCAGCTGACTGCAGTGCGGCAAAAGCACAAGCACTATTCCAGACCATGGGCATGCTGTCACCCAGACCCTCACATCAGGAGGGGGGTGGGGGAAGGGAGAGGGGACACACAGGGTGGAAAAAGAACAAGGCACAAGACACTTACAAAGAAGCACCCACATTTGAGCAAACGAACAAAAACCACCACGCACACCCGCACATCAATAACCATTATAACACCATCCGTGCTGTAAGTCATTCATGCATTTCCGCCATCAGTGTCGGACCCTGTGGCCCCAGGATTTGGTAGAGAGGGTTTTTTTTTTTTTTTTTTTTTGCATCGTTCAACATGCACACATAACATAGGATTCTTCCTGTCTGGGTCTTAAGGATGAGCTCCAAAAACACAAATGCTCAAGATCCTTAGTCAGAGAAGATCCCTCGGTCACCCTAGTCTAAAACACCCCATCCTTCCACTCACATTCAGCTTTACTATCAATTAGATCCCTAAAAACACACTGTGGCTGATGCTTGTTTGGTTTCTTTTTGGAGAAAATCCATTTGATTCTGAGTCATGCCCATGCACTTCTAACCTTCTGATACATGCTTATTCCAACCAAATATTGGTAAGAGCAAATGGCCAACATACATAAACAGCTGGAATACTTCATACATACTCTAGCAACACAAGCTTGAATAAAATATTTTAATGAGTCTTCAAAGGGAAAGCTTTTTGTAAAGTTACTTATTTTCCTTTTTACAAAAGAAAAGAGAAATCTGGAAGGAAATCCAGTCAAAACTTTTAAGACCAGTGATCACAATTGGCTGACCTAATATGTCTTGTCATTTAAGTTGCCAAGTTATCAAACCACTTAGCATTTCGCTAGGCCCTGATGTCCATAACGAACATCTAAGATCGTTCTCAAATAGGAATCTAAGTCGAATGGTTGTTGCACTGAAAAAGCTCAGGTCGAACTATAATTCGCTTGAATAAAATCAGTTCTGTATCTTCATTGCTTGGAAAATCTGATCTCCTGCCTTTCAATTTCTACCATATTCTCCTGCCTTTCAATTTCTACCTTATTCTATTACCATTTCTATCCTGAAAGCTGACCTGGAAGATGTTTTCCCTCTGTTGAGTAAATTCTAGATATTATTGTGGCTTTCGTTAAAGCTTTTTGCTGTGGGTTGGTGAGTATGGTGTTGGAAATAGTGGTGGGACCCCTTTGTGAGGATGCTCTGAGGCTACTTTTAGACAAGTTGTTGAGAACGGATTTATAAATGTATTATATTGGAATCAACCTGGGCTATCACTTCTTTCCTTCTGCTGTTAAGAATCATAGATGTATCTATTCTCACTTCCTTTTTTTCCCTCCTCAAATCTCTTGGTTCTAGATCGCACTTGGGCACCACCAATTGATAACTATGGCACTGTCCCTGAACTAAGGCAGCGGTGGTTCTTCCCAGTACACAGGCATCACAGTTTTCTCCCCTAGTGCTCTTAAGTCCTGTTTTCCTAGTTTCTCTTTCTTGTACCACAAAAAGAGATCATCATCACTTTCTCTCGCTCCAGAGATAAAGAACTAATGAAAAATAGTATCCTAATATCAGCACTGGCCCCTGAGTCAATTAACTCCTCAATTTTTGGCTCAGAGGACTCCAAGACCTTCATCCAGTAGAATCACATACGTACATGGATTTTACTGAAGGGACCTAGGAAATAGAACTCTGGAGTCTTAGGAGATACATGATCAATATTTCTTCAAAGATCTCACAGAATTCAGGAATCTTATGGTTACATTTGACCTTGGAGTTAATTACAGGAAGCTCAGAACTTAAACATCTTAAAAGGAATAGAACAAAATCTGTTGAACTACATTAAAATAGCCTTAAAGCTTCGAGAATAATCGATAAAAGTCAGGAAGTGCTCAATTAATGATGAAACCTACAAATAACTAAGCTTAATGGAGTGCAATGCCTGAGATGTAGCAAGCACGATGGGGCACTACCTTTGGAAGTGTAAGTTTTATACTTAATTGATTTCTCATGATTGTCCATGGATGTGGCCCTTGACCTTCTTTTACGGACTTTTCCCTTTATGCCAATGACAGGGAAAGGCAGCTGTAGTGGCAATGGGGGGAGATGTTGCTCCATATCTAAGATTTCCTGATGGGAAAGCAGATCTGCCTGCTAAGCATCCAGGCCCCCCCTTCAGGGACAGCTTACAGAGGACAGGTTCTGCTTAGTGATTTCTAAGCAGGACATCCTCCTGTATAGGACGATTTTAGGAAGCCAGTTTGGGCTAGAAGGAGAGGTGTCTCTAAAAGATAAATGAACACTGTAGGGTTGGCTGACCACCTCTTGTCATTTAAATGATCAATTTTAATGCTGTTCAACATGTAGAGATTTAAGAAGGCCCTTTGCTCACTAATTCCCATAGACTCAGTTATTAAAATGCAGCCCATTTTTTAACTAACATATCTTTCTCCAAACATGATAGTGCCAGGGTTAAATTTAAGTAATAAAAGTCATATACAGATGACACATTATTCTAATTTTCTGATTGGAGGGACAAAAAAAAGTTAATAGACATTCCAACCTAAAAGTCAGTGGCAAAATTGGGAAAAGGAGCCACATTTCTCCATGCCGCCTTCAAAGCTTTTCTCACTGGGTTTTTATGACTTTTGGCTAAAATCGTAACCAGCTTTTTAGTATTCTGTCTAGAAGCTACCGGTATATGAATGATTTTTTGAACGTTCTAGTTAATGTTAAAATTTACGTATGGTTTCCTTCCTGGTCTGGAGCTGTTTCCTGCCAAATGTTAGCATAAATTTTTATGCTCATGTAGGAGATTGAGAGTGAACAAGGGGTCATACAGGTCAGTGCGATTAGGAACATACTTAAAAGAAAGAGCCATGATCTTCCTCGTCACCACCTACAAGTTTCAACTGGATTCTCCGCCCTGACCTGACCTTCAGTCTCAACTGTGAAGTGAACACACACCTCAAGAGTTCCCAAGACTCCAGCCGATCAACCAAGAAAGCAACTGGGCTGTTAATTCAGATGCTACCAATTGAAAGCAAATACTAGTTTTTTGGGAAGTCCCGTGCATTTCCATACTTGGTGGCGTTACAGAAACAAGGACTGTGTACAACGGAAAACTGCCATTTCAGCCAGCCAGCAAGGAGGCGGCCTCGGCCGAGACGGCAGCCATTGGCTGTTGAACTCACAACAGAAATGACAAGACCCGACATCCTTTCAAGTCTTAAAAATTATAGTATATTTATGAGATCAGTCTACTTGAAACGCGATTTCCCTTGAAGACTACATTTCTCTTTTTCCCAGGCTTGCCTTGCCTCTCAGCAGTGCTGAGAAAGTAGATAAACAGTAATGTGATACCAACCGTGAACTGCTGGTTCTGTCGTCGCCGATGTGTCTACAGACGGGAACAGAGGATTGGAGGAAGGGAAGAAACAGGAGGAACGGCATGCAAAAAAAGGGAAAATGGAAAAAAATGGAACAGATAATATATGAGCAAGCTTTCAAAGAACATCGCGTGACAAGCAATAATAAATGAAAAGCAAAAAGCATTTGAAGTGAGTTGCACTGTTTTAAGACATGCCTTCAGCTCAAAGCTGCGAGCCAGTGAGGAAAACAGTAAATTCTTTGGTTCTGGGGGTCTTGCCAGGAGACAACTACTCGCTAGTCAATCGTCAGGGGAACATGCAAAGTGATGAGAAACACCAGTGCAAACTCAGTGACTGGGAGCGGGCTCTTCAGGCATGAGGCTCAGGGCCGTGACAGAAAAGCTCAGTTGGAAGGCTGGTTAAACAATGGATTCACACATTCAAACATTGCCTTTGTTTTAACCCAACCCACCCAGGCACTCGAGCTTCCTGACTGCCAATTAGGTGTCACTGAATCACTCGCACTTTTAGGATCCTTTATGGTCGATGCTCAGATGCCTGTGGGTGAATATATGAATTCAAGTTTTCCATCCCGTGTTTTATCTCAGCAGAATTCAGCTGGAAAGTTCAATTAAGGGGGAGGCATCGAGAATAGTCTTCAGATGAGTTTTCGTACACACACACGCACGCACACACGCACACACGCATGCATGCACGCACAGCACTAATCCATGGGAGCAGAAGTCTGTCATGGAAACACCCAGGTCTGTACAATTTGCCAAACGCCATTTCTGATCATGTGACATTCCAAAAATGAAAGCATTCCGCCATCCCTTTGGCTCACGATTCAGAACCACGTTCATGGGGGAGCTGCCAGGAGCCTGCCTTCATGGCCGCCTTAGGAGATAGCGTGTTCTTTCTTTCATTGCCAGATGCACTTGCTGCGGATGAAAGTGTGCTCTCTTTCTTCTTCCATCTCTGATGCTGTTCAAGTTTTCTGCTCCTTCTACCAGGCTGCAAACCAGGCTTGCCACCCTGGCGCCTCTTCACAGGAAATTCCTCAAGGGGCTCAAAAAATTGTCTCTTTATTTTTGGCAAGAGGGAGAGTGGGATAAATATCTGACAAAATGCGGGATGACATTCTTTTTCCAGAGTCGTTTTAACACCACTCTTCTAGCCAACTTCACTCCAAAGTCGCCCATCTGGCCACGCTTTAATTTTCAGTTCTGTGCCTCTCAAGTACGTTTCCTTCCTCCAGCCCCTGCTGGCCAGAACGGCGTGCTGATGCCCACACCGCGGAAGCCTTCGCTAGCGGGGGTGGGATTCTGGAATAAATCTGCAAGTGGCTACCTGCCCCCTTTTAGAATGCAGGTTTTTCGCTGGTAATTATTTCCCTGAGTCCTGGAGACTCCAGAAGACTCCTTCAGATCTGACACAGGCAATGTTTAAATGCACCGGAATGCCAAACGTAATTTTGGGGGGGCCAAACGAGCCTGGTGCTTCTTATTTATAAATGTGTCACGTGAATTCACACCGGTGTTCCCCGTCAGTTGGCATGCTTTCCTCAGGACCCTAAACCTTCAAAAAATTACAGCCCTGAGAAGGGCTTCTTAGAAGGAGCCAGAATTAACCAGAAGTCTGACAGGTCACTGCAGCTTAATATAACTTAAGGCTGAGTTTCTGAAGAATTGATGAAAGAAAAAACATAAAACACACCGCATAAGAACACAATACTTACTTACAAGTCAAGTCTGTATGCATAAAATAATAGTAGAAGAATACCAAAAATTGTACAGTTGAAACATCTCTACACCAGATTCTCATGACACAGTTGACACATCTCCTTACTTGAAATAACCAAGTCAGAGTTAGTTTGAGGTGCTTTCAATTTGAGGGGCAAAATCAAATGCACCTTTGTACAGACACACTTACATATGCATGTTCATACACTTTATGGTTAGGCATTGGCTCGTTTTCAAAATTAAAAAAAGCAATAAACACTTTGGCTCGTTATTTTTGTAGCAGCACTTGTTACATGCTTAATTTCACCAGGTAAGTAATTAGCATAAAATGAAAAGAGAGGAGGGAGAATAAAACCCAAGGGTTAGAGTCCTCAAAAATAACATCTTTGCATTAACCAAGTGACTCCAATTTATTGTCTTCCTACATCACAACATTATGTCAAGTTTATGATGAAATTAAACAACGTGGAGCCGGACGTCAGCTCCCGTGGGGGTACCAGAACATAAATGAAGGGCAGGTCACAGTGCAGCTTGCTCCCCCATTCTGGGGGGAGGGAAATCCATCAATTGCACCCACAATGGGAGGAAAAAAAGAATGTTTAGCAGGGAAAAAAAAAACATGTTCTAAAACAGTTAAAAGCAAACACACGTTCAAGTCAAACGACACAGTTATTGCAGCTGGACACAGCAGAGCCACTCAGCTAGGGGTCTACTCAGCCACGGCGGCAGAGACGGGGACACAGCAGAAACACGGGGCGGCCACACGGTCCAGAGCAGGACTGAGGGTGTATCTGGGGAGCGGCTGATCCCACTTCTCTAAGAGCATCTGGTGCGCTATTGGAACAGAGGCTATTTCAAGTCAAGAATTAAAAAAAAAAATTCTTTAGAAGTCACTTTGTGCTCCCTGCAGGAGAGCACTGTGACAGGATCTAATTCTCCTTCATAATTGCATTATGACTTCATGCAGAAACCACAGACACCCTGGCTCTGAAGTGAGGGTTGCTGTGTGAAGTAGGATTTATTAGGGTGTCTTAATCAGAAGATTGGTGAGATTTGCAAGCCCACCCCTGTGAATCAACTTGTGGGGTCACTCTATTGTTTGATACCATTCTATGTGTACAGGTCAAATACAAATAGCCAATTTCCAATGTAAGTTATAAATGCTGTAATTAACTTAAAAAATGAGAGTGTCTAATTGCCCTCACAAAGGCTTTTCTAAACTTCATTTTGGCGCTGCCTTCAAAATATAATCTTTGAGCTAGTTCCAAGGAAAAATAGGTCACAAAAAGTTAAGACTTATGGTGGTGTCAGATTATGAAATTAAGACGGGCTCACTCAGCTACTGTCTCTATTTTAATTTTAATTACAATGAGGGCAAATTTATCGTACATATATTTTATTTTATATGGTCAATGGAAAACAATTACATGTTCTTGCAAACCCAGTAAGTGTGCACAAACTTAACAGTCATTCTCTAGCTGTTTTATGAGTATAATCAAACAAGGTATCAAGGGCAGGGCCCCACACTGCTATTTGAAAAATGCACATCTCACTAAATATTGACTTCTCTTCTGAGTCTACCGGCCATACAGTTTATGGGACCCTCTGTTGAATAAATTAAACATTACCTAGATTTCGTGTTGCAGAATGAGATGTACAAAATGAAAGGCTCTGAAGACGTGTGAGATTTAGAGACACTAGCCATTTAACCAAATAGCCCCCCCCCCAAAAAAAAAAAAAAGATGACTGCATGAGAGGCAGCTGGGCAATATTTAGTTGAAACAGTCATGTGTAAGCTCCACTGTGGCACATTCTAATCCTTTCATATGGATTCTCTCCAACTTAGAATTGTTCACTGAGTGTGACAGACTGGGGGTTTAAAACTAATCCATAAATTAGTCCGTGGTCTCAAACACAACGGGTACCATAAATGAAAATGAAAATCCTAGAACAAAATTAAATTCACAACCTTAAATACTTTTTCTTCTCCAATTACTCTGCGGTGCTCTTGCTTTACAATGCACATTCCCTGCTAGACTACATGGGTTTGGGGGGGGTGTGAGTGTCGGGGAATGGGGTGTACATTAAAAAATGCACAGGGTAATAGCCCAGAGAACCCAGTCTGCTTGAAAGCAGAGCTTAATTGTAAAGAATTTAAATTCTCCCATTTTGATTGTCATAAGCTTAAATGAAAGCGTACTAAGCAGTCCAGACATATTTTAATACACTTTCCCCTAGTTTATTTTCTTAACTAAAGTCAATAAGGAGCCAATGGGTTTTCTTAATTGAATTCCCCTTCAGTGTGTGTTATGGAGCTGCTTTAAATCTAGACACTAGGGCAGGGAAAGAATTCCCCTGGCAATTGTATTGTCATAGTTGTGCTGTGCTGGCCAATATATATTACATATAGTGTTCCCCCCCCCACTCCCCCGTTATTTATTTTTGACTTATCTGAAAACTGTTGAAAGCAAAAATGCATGCTAGAAAATTAAACTTTGAAATTTATTTTCCACTGGTTTCTGTTCACTTTCCTTCCATCGACATTATGCTTTAATTAAACTCCCATTTCTCAGGGATGGGAGAAGGGTTGGGAACAGAACTAAGCTAAAAGGTCCAAATAGAGCTCTCTCACTTCTTAATGTCACCTCCCCTTTGAGTGAAGAGACTGTTTGCCACAGAACAGCAGGAAGGGGAGTAGATTTTTTTCTGTTAAGCAATTTCAAGTTTTGTTAAAAGCTTCTTCAGAATTGTTCACTAGTAGGGCTGTGCCCCAGAGATCTTTTCATTTGCAAACCAGATGTTCTGAAAATAACAGGAATCTGTACAATAGTTTCATTTAACAAGGAAAACAATTCCTATAGTGTGTGGGGTGTGACTGCAGGGTGGGAGATGGGGCAAGAGTTGGGGAAGGCCCAGGTGAGGCCGCAGAGGCAGCGAGGGATGCAAGGAGAGCGGCGTTGAGACAGATGGCAGCTCTGGAACTGGCAGCGAGGATTCATCTTGTATTGGATACTGGAAGGCTGGGTCCTCCCTGTCATGTCCTTTGCCCTCTCTCCTCCCCAAGGTAGCTCCAACAGCCACTTTCGAATCTTAAGAAGCCTGTGTTTGCATTTTTTGCACTATTGATAATTTTGTTCATTCCCTCATAAACCCATATAGGTCAAAAAACTGGTGGACGATGATGCTATTATAATAGGCTCACAAACACCAGTAAAATAAAAATATGGACTTAAGATAGCATACAAAAATGGATGTGTCGGTTTGGCTTAAAAAATTGAAAAGGTGGC